AACCCTTGACTATCCGTGAATTTTGAGTAACCAAATATTGGATATTCAAAGAATATCCATTTCTAACCGTGAATATTTATGGATCCAACCTCTAGTATGGTACAACACTTGTGAGAAATTCGAGAAATCAAATTTCCATATATATATTTTTAAATTAAATCCAATCTCTAGTTTTATTATATCAATGTGAAAATTTAATTTAGCTATTAAACTTTATATTTTTAATTTTTATTAAATAATCTTTTATTAATACATATGGAGATTTTACTCCGGCTTTGACTTTGTTATACCAAAAATTTTCGTTTTTTTTGGTCATAGTCTTCCAAATTGTTATATATGATTTCAATGGTGCGAGTATTTGATGTAAACATATATTTTATCTTGTATATAAACTCTTAAATATGATACTCATATAACTCACCTCCCATCACTCGAAGGTTTTTCTATACATTGTGTAAGTAGTAAAAGTGGATTGACCATTATCAATGGCGACAACAAAAGATTCCATAAATGGTGATGTAGCTTGGGTATTGGCTGCAACATGTCTTGTTTGGATAATGACACCGGGTGTAGGTCTCCTTTATAGTGGTATGGCTCAAAGAAAGAATGCATCATCCTTAATTATGATATGTTTTTTGTCTATTCCCATTGTATCTGTACAGGTTATTTGTAAATTATTTTATCATCAGTTATATTATACTTTAATTCATTATATCTTTATAGTTTTTTATAACGTGTTGTTATCTATTTTTTAGTGGTATATATGGGGTTATAGTCTAACTTTTAACAGAAATGGTGGTCTTTTTATCGGTAATTTGCAAAATGCCTTTTTCATGAATCTTTCATGGGATTCCGGGCCAACCAATACAAGCAAAAATGTTCCAGAATTTGTATTTGCAATTTTTGAGTGTATGTTTGCAGCTATCACCCCTGCATTAATTATGGGTGGTGTTGCTGAACGTATAAGACTATTACCTACAATTATATTCATCTTTATTTGGTCCACACTTGTTTATGACGTTATCGCCTCATGGTGCTGGTCAGCAAACGGTTGGTTTTCAAAATTGGGTGGTCTTGATTATGCTGGTGGTATCCCAGTACATATATCATCTGGCATGGCTGCTCTCGCCTTTTGTATTTTTGTTGGAAAGCGTACAGATAATATCCGGCAGCCCCATAACACTATTAATGTATTTCTTGGCACCATAATGCTATGGTTCGGTTGGTTTGGCTTTAACGGTGGTTCTGCCATAGCTGCTAATAAACGCGCTATTATGGCTTGTGTTGTGACAAATCTTGCTGCTTCATTTAGTGGACTTACTTGGATGTTAATGGATTATTTTCGTACAGGAAATTTATATGCCACTAGCTTTTGTAGTGGAGCTGTTGCGGGATTAGTCGCAATAACTCCTGGATCTGGTTATGTTACTCCTTACGCTGCTTTTGTTTTTGGTGTAGCTAGTGGTTTTTTTTGTAATCTTGCTACTCTAATGAGGATAAGATTTGACAAATATGATGACGCAATGGATGTCTTTGCTATTCACGGTATAGGAGGATTTATTGGAAGCATTCTTACTGGAATTTTTGCCAATCAATATATCGTTTCTCTTGATGGTGAATCTATAAATGGTGGTGCTATAGATGGTAACCCTATACAAATTTTAAAACAATTAGCAGGAAGTTTCGCGGGCATGATATACTCTTTCTTTGTTACATGGATCATTCTTTTTATCATAAATAGAATTCCAGGTCTCACTTTGCGGTTCGATTCAGAGAATGGTGCGGATATTGATGAAATGGGTGAAAATACTTATTGTTTTGCTGATAAAGAATATGCTGATAAAGAATCTAAAGAATAGCAGGCTTTCATTGTGATTGGCCAATTTTTGTAGATCATCCCATGATTTAGTAAAAATTTCATTGGTTAATCGAAATTAATCGAAGTTTTAAACTTAAATTGTCACGAATAAAAAAAAACTAATACAGTATTTATAAAAATAACTATAATCTATAACGAAATTAATACCAGAAAAGTATTTATCATGAAATCTCAATAACTTTAAATCTAAAAGTATAACCTTGTTGCAGACAAACCAAAATTTTATTGATTTGATTAAAGAAATACTGTAGTCCTAACATACTACAAATCAAAAAAAGAAAAAAAACGAACCAAAAACGAAAAATACAAGAAATAAATATTTAACTTACTCTAGAACACTAATGCCTAATAAAAAAAAAAATAATTAAAAACAACTTTTAGAGTTCGCTCCAACATCAAACTGATCTTTAATCTTATTTAATAACCGTTATGACAGTTACAGTACCACTACTTCGCTTTAACTCTTCTCGCGAAATCTATAAACCTTATTACTCTCAACTTCATATTCTTAGCCTATTATATTAAAGTTTCTATTTTAGTTGGGATTACGAAGAATAAATTTTCACAAAATACGTAAAAGACAACTTAAATTGCCAAGTTTAATTGATTTATTGTACCTATAAGTTAAACCTAAACGTTCAAGCATACCTTTCATCTAACTTCCAAATTACTTCGCGGATTACCGAATTACTAATTTTTTTTGTCTTAGACTTCATATTATGATAAGATGATCTTTAAAAATCAGCCAATCATAATAAAGCCCGCTACATATGATTCCAAACGATTTGGTTTGACCCTAAAATCAGCCAATCATAATGCGAATAACATTGTTTAAATTTTCGTTGTCATAAAAACGATCTTTTAAACTTACTTTGAATCTATAATTAAGTATATAGAGTATTGTAATATCTTCATATTTAATTATAGGTTGAAAGGCCGTTTTCCTGAAAATTTGCTTCCGAATTCACCCTTACCCATTATACAACCAATCGTTCACTACCCGAAAATACCGAACGTTTCAAAAAATAGCGACAGTGCTTTCTTTTACAGCTTAGTATAACAGTTTTACTAGTATTTGTTTCTTATTTATCTTATACGGGGACTAAAGAAGCTCTTTTATTGAGTATTTCGTTTGTTGTTTTCACGTAACTTTATTGACAATAGTTCGTGTAACCGTTTATCGAAAAAATGACCCTAAAAATCAAATCGGTGGATATGAGTACTAAGCAAAGAATTGGATTAGCCAATTATTAGTCAAACCTCATGATGATCTCTCAGAATTAATATACATTATGAATTTTTAGCGAACTTATTTAATTTTTAAAAAAAAATTTTTTACGAATATATCAGATATTTATTTATGATAATAAAGGTTTATTTGTTAATGTAAAAAAAATATTATTATACAAAGGGTTTTTAATTGCAATACCGTAAATTTTGTAGCGGTAGCAAATCGCATTTAAAATAACCTAACGCTAATAAGCTATTCTAATGTGATTTGCGCAGAAAATTCGAACCTGTCTTAGAGATGCAGACATTTTCAGGTTAGGGTAGCCAGTGTTGGAAATCTAATGTTCCCAACGTTCTTGAGAACATTAAAATATTTTTAAAAACATAATATTTTAAGAACATAAAAATTTTTTGAATATAGTAAAATTTTATTAACAAGAACATAAATTTAAAAATTTATGTTCTCGACAAACAAAAAAAAAAAAATTTCAGACTTCCTTCACTGAGGTAGCTACCTTCATGGCAAATTTTTTACAGGAGGATCCCCAGATTTATTATGTCTTGTGGAAGATCTCCTTTGAAGAAACTTAAAAGTTAGAGAAATCACGTACGTGTTCGAATGACACCTCGCCAAAAGTGTATTTGTTACAAGAGGACTTTGTTGATTTATTGAAACATTTATGATTAAAGACGAGAATTAAAAATAATATGCTTTTTTAAATAAAATTTATGAAATAGATATCTTGTAAGGAGTTTCAACCCATTTATATAATATAGGTAAAATCGGGTTAGAATGCTCAAGAAATAAAGTCAGTTATATTAAAAACTTT